AAAAAAATACTAGAAAGAATTTCAGCAAGAAATTTTCACATGGAAACACTAGTTTTCATGTTAGTTTTAATCTATTAAGAGATCAATCCATTTTTTAAGTAATTTGTACCAATCCATACCATACAAGTTATTAATATCAGGAAATATATACAATCAAAGTCATCTTTTATAATGACACTGTTGCTCTAAGCTCTTCTAGAAACATGGCAACTTGCTATTTTAAGGTCAGTTATAAAATGGCAATAATTTATCAAACTGTAAGTTATGCAAATTACCTATCTTACCCCTAAGTAACAGAAATCATCATCTTGGCTTCTAATGCAAACATTTGGGACAAGGGGACACAGTATACTACCACACCCCTGCCTCCATCTCCTCCAACTCAATGGCTCAATTTGTGGGATAAGTAGGAATATTACATTTGTGCTAGCACAAAAACATACTCTGATTCAAATGACCTTGAATTGAGTATTAATTAAACTGCCATCAATGATGAAAAACATCCCATAGTCCCAAGACAAATGTGCCAACCTCTCATTTCAGTGGAGCAAAATAGTCATTTTATTCAGTCAACAAACAGCTCACCTGTAAGAGATCCTTTCTGTCCTGAATAGATAAGGCAGAGCTGAACAAAGGTTGTATTATTGAAAGGTTCACATTTGTAGCACCTCCTCTAACACAGCTTTGCTCATTTCCCACTGAGCAAAAAACAACTGTCCTCAATTCTGGGAATTTTCACAGAGTGCTGGTATTCACTAGCACCACCTTCCCCTTTTCTCCAGCATCTAAATTAAAAAGTCTGGCTAATGATACAGCCCATTTGGAAGTTTGGGTATTTATCAGTAAGCAATCAGAGCCTTGATGGGTCCTAACAAAAGATGGGTAATGACTTCATAAATGCTACCCAACTTGGTAGACTCCGTAATTCAAATGGAGATATTAACATAATAAATTTAATTTCTATTTTACAGTTGCAAAGACTGAGACTAGCTATAGGTAAGCAACTTCTCCAAACCGTTACACAGTTCTGTGCTTCCACCTCCCTGTACTATCAGAGTATTTATCTATACTCTGAAATACCCAATTCCAGAGCTTACAACATTGTTAAAACTGTGTGTCTATTACTAAGATATTTGCAAAGTGGAAGCTTTCCAATTACCACTCAATAAATATTTGTTAAACAAATGAGTTTCTCACCATCCCACATATTTCTTCACCCTCAGCATTAGTATTGCTATTCATTAATTCAACAAATATTTATTAAGTATTGAATATCTACAATGTAGCAGGCACACTGTAAGCTACCTGGGATAAATGACAAAAGATAAACATCATCAGATATCATGTGGAATGTACAAACAAAGAGACTTGAATTTGGGGAAGAAATGTAGAATGTTGTGGAATTATGTGGGTGGTCAAATCTAATCTTAGAGCCTAGAACAGATATGGTTGAGAAATGATGGATGAAGAATTTGCAAGTACAGGGGATGGGCAAAGAGGCAGGAAAAAAAGAGAAAAAAGAGTAGGTAAAGATTTGAGGAAGACAACCAAAAGATGAAAAGCAAGGAGTTTCCTCAATAATAAAAATATATACACTGGACCAGGGATTTAGTTCAGTGGTGCCACTGCCTGCCTCACAAGTGCAAGGTCCCAAGTTCAATCCCCGGTACCAAAAAACCCCCAAAGAACCACATATATGTGTGTGTGTGTGTGTGTGTGTGTGTGTGTGTATATATATATACATATATAT